TATAGTCACAGTAAGGGTGGTTTGCAAGGATAGACAAGTATGGAGAGATATAGAGAATGTGAACTGTGAACTTTTGTTCCTTGTGTTATCTGATTACTGAAGTTCAATTTCTTTCTTTCCTTATATGCTTTTCAGTATATTCTGCTGCTTAGAATATCTATAAAATATTCATGGTTGTTATAAGCTACAATTACCCTGTTATTTGAAAATTTCTGACACTGTTAAAAGAACACGTGTGTATCATTTTGAAAGAACTAAATATATTTGAGAAATGTATAGTTAAGTACTTCCCCTGTCACTGAACACTAAAGACATCTGTGATGGTATAACTATTTTCATTTCCTTCGACTGGAAGTGAATTGCAGGCTAAGGCTGGATTTAGTTTAAAATAAAGTGATATCAATGGAACATGACAGTCTGCTCCAATTTTAATTTTTTTAACTTCTTGAAATATATGTTCTTTTTACTTAATTTCTACATAACCTTTCAAATATTTTTGTACAAAATTTCATACCTATTTTATTATTTTTGTTTTTAAGAGATGTGATTTTGGATTTATTTCTTGTTCTGTGTATAATTTTGTTCCTAGATTTCCCTAATGTGCAATTTGTTTAACAGACATTCAGTGAAGCACAAAACCTGAAGGGTAATTGTGTTCTGCGACATGCATTATTTTGGAAAGTGTGAATTAAATCAGTTCATATTTAAACGAGAACCAACTGAATTTCTACTCTTTCCCAAAAGTGAACAGTCTTCAGAGACAAATAATAATGATAATGATAATAGCAGCTATTCATGTGACAGGTTCTAAACACATCCCAAAGTGCTTTGCAATCAGTCCCAGCAAACTATTTTCCTTTCTTCTTTACCTTTTCCAGGTTTTAGGCTATCAGAGTAATTCCTTCTAGCCTTTCCTGTGATCTTTTTCTGGTCCTGATATGTTTATCCTTGTTGTATCAACAGATGTATTATTGTGTTGTTTTACCAATGTGTGGAATTTCAAGGATTCCACACATTGATAAAGTGGATTGATAAAATATCTTGAAAAAGAACCTTGACATTGTCATCTGTTCACATGAAGTATATTTTTGTCAATGGATTAAATGCTGCACCAGATTATCTCTTCCTGTTCCTCACTAAGTAAATAGAGGACAAAATAGGGAACAATTCATTTGTGGAATGGAAGGGATGGAAAATGCATTTTTAAATTCCACTTTTGTTACTTCTTTTTCTACAGAAAACATAAAGAAAGTGTAAATTGTCCTGAGTAATTGATATAGATATTAGTTACATACATCTACTAAAAAGCAACTACAGTTGAAATCGAGACTTGTAAAATCCTTTTAAAAAATTAAAACTGAAATTATATACTCACATACCTAATTTACCTTCCTGATAAATTATCTGAACCCTTGTTGTTGTTGATAGTTCTAGCTACTGATGTTAAATTAAGAGTAGCCAGTAGGAATAGGCTCTGTCTATATCTCCATTGCTTATGCTGATTAATCAGGATCTGTGTCGTGCAGGGAATTTTACTTACAGTACATTTCTATAAATCCTCAAAGAAATTTGTCTTCAGATCTCCCTACTTAATTTAGGGAGATTTTAGATTGAAGATGGATGAGTATGAGGATGTAGGACCAATTTTCCCAAATTAGGGTGAGTTCCTAAATAGGGTTACTAACCTTAACCTTACTAATGATCTCACCCATGCTTTAAATTTAGCTTAACCTTTTGAAACCAAGAGAAGGTGCTTACAGTGCCATCATATAATTGCATTTGTAACATCCATTTAGTATCCAAGTTGTACTGTTCCTCCTTCTATTTTCTCTCCCAAAGGTAATGAATTAATATAAAATCATGGATTACAAAGAGTATTTATGAGTGTTCTCTTTCAACCATGTTTCAAGATATCATGTAAATCTCAATGGAGTGGAACCAGAGTGAAATCACTGAATTCATCCTGCTGGGATTTGGAAATCTCCATCATCTGCGGATTTCCCTGTTTCTGGTATTTCTGGTGATCTACATCTTGACCATGGCCGCCAATGTCCTCATCATCCTTCTGATAGTGTCTGATCAACATCTTCATACACCAATGTACTTTTTTCTGGTCAACTTGTCCTGCTTAGAAATGTTCTGTAGCTCAACCACTCTACCCAAAATGCTGACTTGTCTCTTGACAGGGAACAAGACTATCTCTGTTCAAGGATGTTTTACACAAGTTTATTTCTTACCTTTTTTTATTAGTACAGAATGTTATCTCCTTTCTGTAATGTCCTATGATCGTTTCTTAGCTATTTGCAAGCCTCTCCATTATGCTACTCTTATGAATAGTAAATTCTGTATCCAGTTAGCTGGTTGCTCTTGGATCAATGGCATATTATTTACTTCTCTATATTTGTTTTTGATATTACAACTGCATTTTTGTGGTGTCAGTGAAATTGATCATTTCTTCTGCGAGTCTCTTTCATTGCTTAAAATCTCATGCAGTGATATCAGCTTTGTAAAATATGCCAGTATAGTCCTGAGTTTTGGATTCACTTTCCCTCCTTTTCTTTTGATTCTGATCTCTTACATGTACATTATTGCTGCCATTTTAAAAATCCCATCAGCCATAGGCAGACAAAAGGCCTTTTCCACTTGTTCTTCTCATGTCACAGTTGTTTCTGTTTTCTATGGGGCATTAATCATTGTATACCTTACACCAAAGACTAAAGCAATCAGAGAGCTTAACAAATATTTTTCCCTGATGTATACTGTCCTGTCACCCTTAATCAATCCCTTTGTTTATAGTCTGAGAAACAAGGATGTCAAGAAAGCTTTGAGGAAGTTCCAGGAAGATTTTAGAAGGAAAACTGCTAAATTAGAGATTTAAAACTTGTAACCTCTTTAAGCATGCAAATAAACATGGGAAAACAAACTAAAACAAGTGGATAATTCAACCATATAGTAATTTTAAACCATCTCTCCAAGTCAATATTGACCTGTTCCCACTACCTATGTCAACTTCTACTATTGTCACTTCATATATTTCCCACCAGACAAAATTGAATCCCCATTTCAGAAAAGAATGAAAGTTACATTTTTTCCCCTGATTCTTCCCACTAGACAGTCAGAGAAGATTGATAAACTGTAGCAATAACAGAGGCTTGAGGGGGAGGAGTTTCTTGGAATTATCATTAATTCCCTGGAATTAGGAATGTTTGCCTAAAACAGATTATCTAGATCCATTTACATTAAGATTCAGGGCTTGTTCTAAAACAGAGATCCTACTATCTCTGTCAATTACTAATGGAGGAATTGGACAGAGGAATTGGACAGGGGAAAGTGTCAATATTCTGTCAAGATGCTATCAACTATGAGTACCTACTAGTGATAGGACTATGTGGTAATTGCTTATGATGTTCCCATTGTATTTTGATTATTTAAATATACATGAATCCCCCAGAAAAAGAAGCCTGTAGTCTAAGCTTTGATGCCATCGGTAGGAAACATTATTGTATAGAATTTTAATTTCATTATTCTATGGTGTAGATTTCAGGGTGGTCCATGTTTTGTTATCACTGACCATAAATAAATAAATAAATAAATATCTACCTACTGATACTGTCAGAGTTTGAAATCAGTATCTGATATCAATAATGGTTTGTAGTAAAACAAACTTAATTGAAACTTAATCTATAAATTATACAGATGTTTTTGATAAACTGAAAAGTAGATAAATAATTAAGGATACAACCTGTGATGCATAAGGTTATGTTTCTTTTGAATAGCTGAAGACTTTACTCCTAAACCTGCATGTCCAAGGTCTGTTGGTGGCCAAGAATATGTTTGCTTAGCTGAAATTTGGTTGCAGTAACATAGGCTTTATTTCCTATGACTGCACAAAGGATTTGAAGGGTGCTTCACTCACACTAGCACACATACAGTAGTGAAGCATTCTTTTAGAAGAATGCATTTGTTTGCATTGCGTACAACCATAATCCTAGGGACTCCTGGTGTTTAGCAATGCTAAAAAACTTCCATTAAAACATCCATAGTAAAAACAATATCATAGAGTAGGTAGTAATATGAGATGACCACATACTTAGGAAGGCTCACTGTGGTTGCTCTTAGTGTCTTCCCAGGATGCCTGTTCAGGAATGAACAGTTAATAGTTTCACTGGCCTGTAACTGAACCACAACAACTGTGCACGCACATATTGGTGGAGAAGATCCTTGAATCCCTTGAAACAATCATAGCAAGACTTTCAGATGAAACAGATGCCTCACTATGTTTATGGAGGGGCCCTTTGCAATGAACCCCTGAATGTTCCACACAGCCCAATTCTGTATATTTTGTATGGGTAATTGCAGTAGCTCTGTAGAAACTCTTTTCCCAATAGCTAGCTAGCTAGTTAAACAAATAATCAGGACATTTCATTTGGCCCATATAATAGTAATTCTAGTAACTGGTATAGTCCTAGAGAACATGACTGTCCAGTTACAAGTTTCACCGACTACTGGTCTATTTTTAGTACACATTTAAAATGCCAGTTATGAACTACAAAACTATAAACAACTGGAGAACAAGTTATTTTAAAGGCCAATGTGACTCTTCCTGCTTTTTAAGATCTGTAGGAGAAGTCCCCCTCTCTTCCCCAATATTAGCAGAGGCAGATTTAAGAGAAGCATCTGATAAAGATTTCTTTCTGGTTGTCCCAAGGCTCTGTAGCTGCTTGCATAAAGAACCGACACATGCCTGCCTGCATATACGGAGAATTGTAGAAGTCTGTCTGTAGAAGACAGAGGGAATGGCTATGAAGGACAGGAGGAAGAGCCTCTAACAAGGCAATGGCCAGATAGGTCAAGAAAATTTTGAGAGAAAACATCTCAGACAAACCTCTCCCTAGTTCACATGAAGATAAAGTGAGGGAAGGGAAAGCACATTCAGACTTACAAAATTCTGTTACTAAAGCTGTTAAAATAAAAGTAGTCCTAACCTATATGGCATTGGTTTCTTAGTTTGGCCTATCTTGTTGGGCTGACACAGCATGCATGTATCCATCTCTCTTTCTCTTTCTCTTTTCTTTGATACAGCCGAGCTTCTGTAAATGACCGCTCCCAAGAAATAAGGAGGATGAATCATGCAAGTGCTAGTCCACAATGCAGTTCAATTAATAGATTTGGGTACCAGCTGGGTCCAACGTTTTTAATCTTGGATATAAAGGGCCTCCACTCTTCAAAAGATTAAATTCTGCTTCTCCTGCAATGAATGTAAATATTATTTTAACAAACAAACAAGTGTCTTTCAACAGTGGAGGGAAAACTTTGGATCCAGGCCAATAGACTCAGTTTGGATTTTGTTACACTTAGGGTAATTATGAATCCCATAATATTCTAAGTATAATTAAATCTCAATCTAACTTAGTGAATAGCGAGAAAAGAGTAGCTTTCAAGCATCATTTATAAACTGATTGATGTATACAAAAATTGGTATGATGTATTTGATATTATTGAGGGAAAAGAAAATTGATGCTGTTTTATTCAGACATTTTCTGGAATGTCAACATTCAGTTCCATGCCTACAGATTTTTCCACTGACTATAGATAATAATTGTCTGTATAGCCTTCCTTGACAATTAGTCTCTTGTGTTGCCAACTATTTTTACTGAAGTTAAATGATTCCCAAAGGGAGACTTCTGCTTGATATGGTATGAGATATAAACAAAAAAAATCAGGGATAGATTCATATCAAATAATTTTACCTCCATGAAAATGGGTAAAAGGAAGACACTGTACAATTTGTTTCCTGGGACTAGGGGGAATTTCAGTGAATAATTTTGCCATGGTAAAGGTATGTACCACATTGTCTTCTTCATATTTCTCACAAATAATTTTTTTTATTATTATTAGCAATACATCAACTATTATTTTTAAATGTTTTCCCAAGAACATTTAATTATTGAAAAGTACTTTAAGATCTTTCATGTGAGTGCAGATTTAAAGTGGCTATGCTCAGATATTGAATATAAATCCATGCAATATTTAGGTCAGGGGCATGCAGTATTTTTGCAGAAGGAAAACACTAAAAATAAACACTGGAAATCAAATCATTATGAAAAATTAAGTAATTTATTTCCTAAAATGAACATATTGAAGAATTAATGTATCTAATTCTCCCATGGTAATTGATTGGACTCTATAATGTTCTCCTAGAATGTGACATAGTCCCAATAATATTAATAATGATGATGACATGGTACAATTTTGGAGATGGGCAGAATATTTTGGCAGCCATAGTTTTGACAAATATCTTCCATCAGTGGTAATATTTATTCCAAAGAAAAATCTCCATTAATGCCAGTAGAAACTTCCATGCTGAGGGTAATACTAGCCAAGACAGATAAATTTATTTGCCAGTATCAAGGCCAAGAAATGGTAAAACTTTCTTTTTCTGCTCATCATAAACTTCCTCACATGGGTAAGTGTTCTTACTTTTATACCTATTTTAAGTGATGTAGTTGCTAATGACATTTTTAGCATTATCCCTAATTTCACGTTTCGGTCATTTTATTTAGATTTAATTCCCTCCTGTATGCAAATACCATACCCATGAATGCGAATATTTCTATTGGGTTCAAGACATCCTGTGTTTCTTCATGCAGATGAGATATGATATTTCATTGCTGAGATAATCTTCATGGTGGGAGGTAAAAAAGTTAGTGCAGATTGTGGAGAGGAAAGGGAAAAACGGGCAGCATTGGGCCATTCTATGATTATCCCAAGTGTGTTCATAATTTAATGAGTCTGCTAATTGGATTTCGAAAAAGAAGTTACACTATGAGAAAGCCAAAATCATCTTTTATTCTGTTCGTATCTTATATCCTGAAATGCATTTATTTTATTCATTTAATATATTCCCATCAGTTCTTATGAAAGTTATTTATATATTTATTTGAAATCATTTTAAAGCAGCATACAAATAATTGGATTCTGTCTTTGAAATTATTTAGTGTCTTTTAATTTCTAACTGAATTCCTTTTCTCTGAAATAGATTGTGCTTATTGATAGCATGCTGTTTCCAGGCTGTTTCCAAAGCTTCATCTCTCATGTTATCTGGGAAACAGTAGGAAATTGTCAACCAAATGTCTTATGTCCCATTCCGAAAAGAAAGTTTCAGATAAAGTCTTATGCACCAGCTCGCCCTTCCTTCCTTCCTTCCTTCCTTCCTTCCTTCCTTCCTTCCTTCCTTCCTTCCTTCCTTCCTTCCTTCCTTCCTTCCTTCCTTCCTTCCCCCCTTCCCTCCCTCCCTCCCTCCTGTATTAAAGAGACATTCGTTCTAGACTCATCTCACCATTACTGCATAAATACCCAGGGCAGACAGGACAATTCTACACCCCCCTGCTGCTTTCAGATACCAACCTGCTACAGCATATAATGTTGCCAGATTCTGCACAGCAGCGATTAAAATTTGCCAGATGATGACCTGCACCATAAACTAGTCTTAATGAGCATCTAGTTTGTTATACTAGAGTGCTCTCTAATTTGATTAACCTTTATGCCTTCATTTTTAATATCTTCTAGCTTTTCATAATTTTTCTTTTAGATCCCTATTAGATATACATTTTCTATTTTATATCTTTTAGCTTTTTATTATTATTTTTCTGAAGTATTTTCTATGTTTTTTAAACTGACTGTACCTCAGTCTCTTTATGCTGGTCTTTGACTGTAATAAAGATTCTTTCTTTCTTTCTTTCTTTCTTTCTTTCTTTCTTTCTTTCTTTCTTTCTT